AGTCATTTGGTTCGCAAAGAAATAGCCCACACTTTGTGTGTGGAAACAGCTCGTATGAGTGGCAGAGACTTGACTTCATACCTCAAATTCTCAGATACTATTTGTAAATGCCTTGCTGCTCAGAGCATTGAAGATTTTGAGCCCATTTTAGAAGAGTACAAAATTAAATCTGCAGACTTTGAAATTCTGAGTGCTATTGAAAGTAATCCTGCACGTATTGGAGGGAAAATACCAGATCATCGAATAGATTTGCTTGAAAATGATATCAATCACATATTCTATCCTGAGGAATGGGTTGGGTTTTTGAACGATGAAGGAAATTATATTTATGTTACAGTATGCTATCTTGTTGATCAAGAAGTTTTTAACCCATTGACAAAAAAATATGTCATTAGTGTTGATGAAAATGATGGAAAAGAAACTGTGTCAACATTAGATCTTTATAAATTGACAAAAGTTAAAAGTACAACTTCTTTAGAAGAGGGAGAGGATATCAATCAAGAGTTAGTTTTGTTTGATCCTGACAGTGCTTCTGCTAGGACAACTAGTGACTCTGACACTGTCTTACAATTGAAAAGAATAATATTCCGTGACTTACAATTAATTAAGGGACTTGAAGATGAAGATGAGAAACGAAAAGCTATAAAACGACTATATAAACAGTATCATCCAGATAGAAATGCAGATAAAAAGGAAATTTATGAAGAAGCTTTTAAGTTTTTGAAGAGACAGGTTGACAGATTATATGCAGGAAAAGAATTGGAAGACCCTGATATGGCTAATGAAACATTAATTTCAGCAGGTTCTTCATCAAAACCAAATGCTGCAACTTTTAGAAGATTTTATGAAGAATGGGAAGAAGATATTAAAAGAGAAAAGAAAGCCAGTGATAATGCAAGAGAAAGATCAAATAGAATGAGACAAGATGATTTTTTCCCTGATGTTTCTCAACCAATGCCAAACTCTATTGAAGCGAATTTCTGGATCGCTCAGGCTGAATCTGACCTAGAGGCAATGCTACTGCTAAATGAACAAATACCATTTAGAAGAGTTCAGTGTCAGGTTTTGTTCCAAGCACATGAAGCATGTGAAAAGGCATTAAAGGGTGGTAAATACAAGCTAGTAGGATTAAACCCAGCCAGTCTTAAAACACACGAACTGCACACTCATGCAGCTGCTATTGCTGGGTTCAAAGGAGGTGAATGGAAAGTACTGCCATCATTAGTCTGTCAAATAGAAGGATACTATTTAAAACCTCGTTATCCAAACCAGCATTCTCCCTCAATAGCTCCTGTTGATGTTTATTCAAAGTCTTGTGAAGCTCACAATGTGCAAGAAGCGGTTGAAGCTGCCAAGGAAGTAGTCAAACTAATAAAAAAACTATTTTAGTATTGTATAAATGTATTGCTAAAAATTAACTTCCTTTTATAGTTTGCTGTATTAATTGCCTAAACTTCTAGTTTTTTTATATAGTTTGATGTGAATATTATTTTTGTAGTCTAGTCACATTAAAAAAAGCTTCATAACAAGTGTTATAATTTGACATAGCACAGTCAAACCTGTCTATTCAGGACGTCTTGAGACCCAATTTAATATTGCTCTGATTATGGAAGTGCATGTTCATATGAGGTTCGTCAGTACACAAATATATTGTATTAGGACTGCATGCAACTACGTGCCCTCATTATAAAGGTGTCTTTATTTTAGTCATTACAATTACTAGAGCTAGATCTAGTCAGCCTTTTGCCCACATCCTCCAGACCCAGTGTCAGTCCAAATAAGTATTGATGACCTGTTGATGAGATACACCTAGAGAAAGGAGGACTTTCCAGGGAGGATGAGTAATTAATGAATAAAGATAGTATAATACGCTGCATATACATGTATTTCTCTCTCTCTTACACCATGTTTTGTATCCTCCATGCTGTGGTTAATGAGATTACCAATATTAGCATCATATATAAAGACATGAAATGGTACATGTATATGTATCACAAAAAATCATTAAAATGGATAATTGTCACTTGCCATTTTTGACAATTTTTTTAATTCAGAGATTTTTTTTGAAAAACCATGGGCTATAGCCTTTACAGTACAACGAAAAATTTTTAATAAAAAAAAGCATGAGTAGGGAACAAAATTAAATAAGTTGGAGAGATATTAAAAATAAGAATAAAATAGGTCCGGTTAGGTTAGGAAAAATTAAGATAAAATAAAATAAAATAAATCTAATGTGCAATACGTAGTTGACCTTCAGATGCAGCTTTAATGAAGTCAGATGAGTCAATAGACATGTGTTTATATTGAGATCAAGACCCCCAAAGACATCTTAAACAGAGCGGATGATGGAGAACGAATATCGGCACTGTGTAAAATTGATGGTGGTACTATAATGATGCTGGAATTTCTGTGTTTAGTAAAGAGAGTGGCCTTTGATCAATTGTTGTGAAACTAAAAAAATCAGAAAAAATCCAAATTTGATCAGAATCAGCTCAAACTTGATACACAACATAAAGACATGTATGTGTATTTTTTAAAATTATAAAAACAATTTGGCTAGAGTGGTGGTTGTTAGCCCAATTATTGAGCAACATTTAAATCATTAAAGCAATCTAAATTTAATCAGAATCAGCTTAAATTTTCTATACTACATAAGTACATGTATATGTATTAGAAAAAAATTTAAATGGAGATTTCTTGTGATTCTTGTCAAAATACAATGTACCCTGTACTACTGTAGCAGGGTCTTACAATCCATTGACAAGAAGCTGTATGAGCACTGTGCTAAAACCCTTCAGGAAATCCTGGTGTCATCCTCTGTTTTCCATTTTCATGATAAAATATTTACATTTTAATTGCCAAAATTTTACCAGTACAGTATACATCTAGAAGTACATGGTAGTTACTTTTACTACTAAATAATTGTTTAGTTGATGAGCTATATACACAATATACTTGCATGTACACATGTACATAGTGTAAAGTAATTCATCAAAACAAAAGGCTAATTTTGACACCATTGTACAATTAGTTTACAATTCTTGATATATATCCATATTTCTCAGTCTTATGTACATGTAATACAATCCGAGATTTGTACATTACTCTAGTTTATTTTACTATAGTATAATTGCATAAGCATAATTGTATATACAACTTGGCATGTAATCATATACTTATGTAGTAGACTAAACAAAACTAAGTCAAGGAACATGCTTCAGTCTCCCACTGTTTTTGATGTGACACCGACAATGTACATGTACATGCATGTGTACATGTATGTCTTCTCCAATTTTAATAAAGTCGTGATTACATTTAGCAATCACATATGCATCAATAATTATTTCAGAACTGTTATTGTGTACTCACATAATAAGTCATTCTTGCTTGCTGTCAATGCTGTGGTCAGAGAGTAACCCCGGCAGATATTAGGATACGGGCCCCTTCATTATGATACACTTCATAACACGACTTTAATGAATCAATGACTTAAGCTGCAAAAAAGAAAGAAAGAGTACAAGTGAGTTAAAGGTGTAGGTTGGACTGTAGGTGTACACATAGGTAATGTGGGGACAGAGCTCCAACAGATTTTTTGCTTAAATTAATTTTCAGTTATTCAGCAGTAAGTACATGCGTCCCAAGTGACATTAGCATGTCAGTTGCATGCATGGTTCCCATAGTTATCTATAACTCTTGTGAATACAACTACAGTAGCTCTAATTTGATTCATGAGCTATATAACTATTTTCCATTACTGACTCACCCACATATATATCCCCACAGTCTCATCATATTCCTCCTCTTACCCTGGCCAGCAGTTTCCTCATTCATCGCTTTTTCTCGAAGGCCCAGATTTTAGAACTTCTTAAGACTAGCCTTTCACATAGCATAGACAACAGTATGCCATCATTAGTGATAAAATCAATTAGCAGCATCGATTTAATTAATGATTGACCACGCCCTTTGGTCCGAGGTTCGATCGATCATAGATCGTTCAGTACGCAACTCTCTGAGTCTCTGACGTCGGACACCCTCAGCTGCACTGATAAGAGAAGAAGTGAGCTCAGTTATGGAAGATGATGGCGAGTCCTTTGGTCAAAGGAGGCCTCCTTTGTATGAGATGATTAAGAATATATTGAGGGAATATCCTAGTGGACAAATATTTAAAGTGAGGAATAAGTTAGGGATTAAGGGATATATATGTGAAGGAGATCACTGAGCCATGCACTCATGCTAGGATGACATTCATAGCTGTGTAAGGAGTCCGAGTTGTAGGGACTATAGTCTAATGTTTAAATTTTGTGATTGATGAAGTTTATTTCCTTTGCTTGCTTTCTTTACCATTAGACCACAAGTGCACTGTCATCCCATGCCGCCTTTATTAATCAATTCAGTGAAGGTTGGGCTACACGCTATAATTAATTTTATTGGGGTAATTCCCTATATTGCTTACTTGTAAAGCTAAACCACAATTTAGCCTTTGCCCTTACATGTACTGTAGTTGTACTGATGTGGCTAGCAGCGGGGCTTCCCAGCTTAGCGTTAAACCTTTGTCAGTGAATTCTCAAAAATCTGATCTAAGACCCTGTACTATAGCATGGGGTATTTCGCGAAAAATGGCTAGGTGAAAATTTTCCATTTTTATAATTTTTCTTGATAGATATATATGTCCTTATGTTGTGTAGAAAGTTTTAACTGATTCTGATTAAATCTGTATTTTTAATGAATTTTTAAAGCTGCTCTAAAATTGGGCAAAAGTCCCTGTTTACAGGGGTTTGGCCAAATTTTGCCAAAAATGGCTATGCGGGATTTCTCCACTTTTATATTTTTTTCTGATGCATATACATGTACCGTATTTCCTTAAATAGAAGCCGCATTCGAATAAACGCCGGGGTAGCAATAGAATTAAACTATAAATACGCAACACCAGCCTAGGAGTGACTCAGTAGTCTAGTGGGCAATGCTTGAAGTTCCAGAAGTCAAAAGCTTGAGGCTGCGGGCTCGAATCCCGCTCTGGGCCAAAGTTTTTTTTATTTTTTATATATTTTTTGGAGGTCCAAGTATCATTTTAGGAAATAGACGCCCGGGCTTTTATTTAAGGAAATACGGTACTTATGTTACATAGAAATTTTGAGCTGATTCTGATTAAAATTAGATTTTTTATGAATTTAAAGTTGTTTAAAAAAGACTATAATAATGCTTGTCAGCTTATATAGCATACTTTTTAGCTCATTTAGCATGCTTTGTGAGAAACCCTGGTGGGTAGTACAATCACACAGTATCGTTACAATCCTCATCATTCCAACTTCTTTATGTTTCTTATTTGTATGCCTCTCATTTTGTTTCTGCTGTAATATAAATAATAATAATAATTATTATCATTATTATTATTTGATGAGCATACCTACAATAATTATAACACTTATTTTAATCAATGTTCCTATTGTTCGTGAATACCACCAGGAATTACCCTTTGTATTGTTATTATATACTTTTACTAGCCTTGCCACTTCTGGCTACATGTGGGCAAGGTTTTCCATGGGTATGCATGATTATAATGTAAATACGGCAATTGCCATTTTTAATTCTCTTCTTTAGGAGATAATACAAAATGCTGACGATGCTCGGGCCACTGAGGTCAAATTCTATTTGGATTGTCGTGTCCTACAAACCCTCCCACTCTCACTTGTAACAGCTGATAGTAGTGACGCTAAGCAGCAGCTGCTACAACAGTTCACTGGACCTGCTCTGGTTTCCTATAACAATGCTCCTTTCAGGAAAGAAGACTGGGAGAGTATACAGAGTCTTCAGCAGAGCGGTAAAGCCAAGAATCCACACAAAGTTGGAAAGTTTGGAATTGGATTTAATTCTGTTTATCATATTACTGGTAAGACAGAGAGGTTATTCATTCTGCTAATATTACACCTACTTGGAATTTTTCATAATGATATTCATGATTATTTTTAATGTGTAATGATATTCATAGTTTGTGTTTATGTGAATCTTGAGTTCATTTGTATTTTTAGACCTACCAGTTATCCTGAGTGAAAACTATTGTGGATTCTTGGAGCCACAGGAAAGAGTATGGAAGGGAGAATC